TTATAAATTATTGTCCATTGTTTCTATTTCACGGCTCATTAAACCGCATTGCTGGGAATCGTGATCTCTTAGCTACGCGTTTAGTTACATGTGTAAATGATACGAACCTTGTTGTCTATTAGCATTACGTGTTATCTGTTTAAGTATATTTAATTTAAAAAGTAAAACGTATTTTTAAATTAATTATGACAGTATTAATCTAATATGGCGGACCTTTCAAACGATCCTCTGAAATCCACTTTTAACCAGTTCATTTTATATTCAATTTAATATCTATTAAATAAACACACGATTAACATCTTTTGAGTAAGAATAATACTAATATTTGCACTAAACATAATAAGGATCATTATGTAAGGGGCATCCCATAAGCTTAGTATTTGTAGCGTAGCCTTATTGATCAATACTCCCGGTTTCCTACATATCCTGTCTAGACAACGTCCCTATTTTTAGCGTTAAATTACACAATCAATACATTTAACCCAGTAACTGAATTTGATTTTTTAACTACAAATGCAATTAAACCTAAAATGAGTTATCGTATCTCATTTTGTCGATGAAAAAAGTTTTTTTGTTAGTCGGAGTAAAAAAAGTTTTTTGTTATCACATAATAAGAGAATTATCGTATTTTCATTAAAAGTCGATATGTACAAATATATCTATCGGTTCTCCGGACGTTGTTAGTACCAAGGGAACATTTGACAGGAAATTGGGTTATCTCAATGTTAGCTGAGTTGCCCTATACTTCCTTTTAATATTAATAATTTAATTATTGCTCCAGGGGAATCTCGTTTGTATATGTGATTTGGCACAATGGGGTTCAATTTGTAATTTTTATTCGCTTCCATTGGTATCTACTATTCGAATATTTTTGTTGAAATAATATTGCTTTTTTGATACTCTAATTATTAGAAGTCGAAATTATTATTAATATTACTATGAAAAGCTTAATATTTGTCTAACCAGAATTTATTTTATACATTAACTAATGTAATACGATATTAAGTTTTAATATCCGAATAAATCTTGCATAGCTTAAGTATGAATGTAAATTATTTGCCCTCCTTAGGGTGACTCAGTTGATTTCACTCCACGAACATCGCAGCTTCGGCAAATAATCGGGCCATTAATTTCAGATCGAAGTTTATACTGAGAAGTGATTAATATT